TAATGAAAAAAGGTGCATACGAAAGAAGGCACTCTCTCTACACGCCCCATTCTGACTGGACGTGGCTGCATACTTATATTTTTCTAAAAGTTGATTGTCGCACGATAACTTAAAAAAAGTGCAAATAACAAATACGGAACTATCTCTTATTTCATAAATCGAATATCCCGTTTTCTTTTATTCACTTTTTAAAAATAGCAGTAATCACAAAGCCGACAAGTGATTTCTGCATATTATTTATTTAAGTTAGAGAATCAGAGTGTGTCAAAATCAGGTCTTATCAATTATTTTTATAGACTTAAAGAAACATATTTCTCTTTTTCACCCTATAGATCAAAAAAAAAAAAAGAGGGGCGAAAGATAACAGAGGGACATTCAAACTCATATGTTGAAAATAAGCAGACAATGCCATGACTAAAAAAGAAAAAGACCAATAGACAAACAGTAGTACACAAAACACAACATATAAAACCAAAGACTGAGCAACACGAAGCCCACCAAAAAACTGGGGGTGATCTCAGGTGCTCCGGAAGGGTAAGCAGATCCTGCTCCAAATGTGGCACCCGTCGAGTTGCTCATGTTATTACAAACCCGGTAATGAGTAATTCGGTAGGTCACAAGTTAGCCTCTTGTTTTATAATTTTTATGATATTTAGTTTTTTCAGAAAATATTGTTTTCGTCTTGATTTGTTTTTGGTAAATTTCATTTCGTTTCCTTCCATTCTTATTCCGTTTCCGTATCAAAAAATTTGCTTGTCCTTTCACGGATCCGTAACAGTGTCTGCGACATGTTGCGAGTCGTGATGAATTATTTACGGATACCAGCGAGTTATTTACGATTGCTTGCGGTTGACTACGAGTTGGCGATCCGCCAGGACTCGTATGAAAAATCAGTGAATTTGAAGGAGGCATCAAGGCTGAGCTCAGATTGATATATTTTTACATAAATGATACGCCCTGTAGTAACATTTTGGCTTTGTAAAGGATTCAATATTTCAGAATATTAAGATGATGGACTCGAGTTTGAAAGTACCAAAGAAATGTGCCTGAAAGTGTCTCAAGAAGTAATGACCGATGTATTGTCTGTCAGGTTTTGTCAAGTTACGGAAAACAATTTTAAGAGTCACATAACAGGTTAAGAGTAGATTCGCCTTGTATGCAATTTAGACCAGGGTATTTAACGCGTACCCGAAAAGAAAATATAGAATATTTTCATTTTATTTCCTTAGTGTTAAAACACTAGTAATATGACCGAGACGAAAGTTGCAGCGATAATTGGTAAAATCTTTGCACTTTCACCAGCACTTTGCAATATATGTAAATAAGACATTTACATTATATAGTCAACGAAGTTTTAGTATTCTTCCCTTAAAACGTTGCTTATTTGTGTACTTACACCAATTCAGAGACTATCAGAGAGGTTAACAATGTTGATACAGTTCATGTGCGGGTGCTGGCTTCAATGTGTATTTTCCTGTTTAAATAGCGCATTAGGTGACGACACATGAAAAGAAGCTCAAAAAGTCCACGTACAGGAAGTGTAAGACTGTGATTTTTTGGATCATTTTAAGGAGAAATTGTTTAACTTTTCACTGACAACCAATACATGGCTCACATATCTTAAGTTGGTAGTATGTTTCAGGAGTTAAATAGGTTAACTGTAGAGTTTTTAATTTTTTTTTATAAGAATTGACACCAAAAACTTTGAATGCTACGAAGGATCCGTATAGTAAATGTTTTTATTTTGATGATTGGTCGGTGTCGGACTGAATGTGATTTTATTTTAATACCTGATGTGGACCTTTAAGCAGAGACCGATTTGCAAACAGTAACAATGCCAAACTTCCATGTCCCTTTGGTATATTTCGACTCTCTTTTCCAAGGTATAATGCAAAGTTCTTATATACATGTATATATAAAGTTACATTAATTTTTTCAAGAGGGTTCTACAGAGAAATCTACTTTTTTTTAAATGAAAACAGATTGATTCCTGATTTACTGCAAACACATTGCTCAAATATTAAATAGATATTTGTTTTTTCGGACCTTGCCGTTCTTTCTGTTTATATTGTGGCTGTTAATTGTGCAGTATTTATGTGCATTTAGGCGGACCTGGCCGCTTGTGTAACCTACCCAGTATTTATGTGCATTTTGGCGGACCTGGCCGCTTGTGTGACCTACCCGACCATGACTGTCATTCCGTGTAAGGATATGCATTTCATCTCGTCTGAATGGCCGTTGGGAAATGAATATCAAATATTCGTGCACACCTAGTTTACACAAAACCACTGAAGGCTATTCGAGTAAATGATAGTCTACAAACAATGAATACGACTCAAACGAATTGCAGAAAGTACAATTTAAAGGATTTAACTTCGGATGTATCTACGGTCTCCTCATGTCTCAGAGACTTGATGAAATAAGATGGTTAAGTGTCTGTACCTAATTATAACTGTTATGCAATTAATTCGTTATATAAATGGGTTTTATATCAAACCATTGTTGCCGTTCACCTACTAATTTTGTCTTCGAATGAGGTTTAATCCAAAATTCAAACAAAAAGAAAGAACCAACCACAGCAGACATTATTGTAAAACTATTTTATCTGTATAAAGATAAATCCGATTGATCCAACAATAGATTACTTGGTATGTTTTTGCTAGATTATTCTGGAATATCTAGATTCAAAGAACTATTACATACAAAATAAGCTATATAAGTTTTCATAATACTAACGTTTCAGTTAGCATTTGCAACAATTAGACCGAAATTAACAGACAAGGTAGTAAAGTTAAGAAAGCAAGTCAGAGATACATTACTTTTCAGATCATTTGTTGATATACTATTATTTTAATTTTGCTCTGAAACAAATGAAACATGTTGTACTGCACGTTAATATTTGATGTAAATCATTTGAAAGTTCTTTACTTAACATGAATTGATTGATTGGTGTTTAACGCCACTTTCAACACTATTGTGCTATTTCGAGGCGGTAAGTTTTTATTGGTGGAGGAAGCCGGAGTGCCCGGAGAGAACTACCGACCTTCGGTAGGAAAACTGACAATCTAATGCTGCGTTCACACGTAATTCGAATTCGATTCGCATTAACTAATTCGAATTAGTTTAATTCGCATTCGAAACGTTTTACGTCCGAACGTAAATTCTAATTTGAATTGCAATGCGCGTCAAATTTGCTTTACTGTCCGAACGACGTTAACTTTTAATTCGTATTAACAAAAACGCATTTCTAATGCGAATTGGATAATTCGAATTAGCCAATTCGAATCAATTCGAATTAAAAAAGAAGAGTGTGTGAACGCGATTAGAGAATTCGATTCGCATTCGATTCGAATTCAATTCGAATTAAATGTACGTGTGAACGAGGCACTAGTCAATTAAGATTGGAGTCGAGTGCACCTGCCCCGTGTGGGATTCGAACTCACAACATCAGTGTTGACTGGCTAGTGATACAGTAATTGGACTACTTAGACCACTCGTCCACCGAGGTCCCCCTTTAACATGAAATAGCAATGCATATTCGTTTACCAAAATATAATAATATAAGTAATAAATATCTACAAAACAAACACTTTACTCATTTCGCGCGTCCGAAGAGCCTTTTTGGATTTATCAACAAGAACGCTCAAACTCAATGGATGTATAAGATCAAAACCATTGTAGAGCTATATGACAAAAAAGGGACCTAAAAATAGCAAATTCGACTTTGCCTGAGGCAGTTGGAACCTTGATTCTTTTCAATAATTTCTTAAATATAGTAAAATCCAATTTTACGTGAAATTTATTACTACACGTTTCATTGCAAAATCGAAGATATGTCCGAAATTTATCAAATTTGTCAAATTAAACGATACCTATATTTTAGCATTGCACATGTCATGTTTTTTCTCTGACTTTTAATGACATCTTTACACTAAATCCATTGGATGTTGGATGTGTACTGATTGATATTTTAGTCTGAGATACATGATATTTTTTTTATAAGTTGTTTTTGGCTTTGAACTAGCTGTCAGTAACTGCGAGTACTCTAAGATCTGTACTTAGTGTCGTTTTGTTGTTAAGGATGAAGAATAGATATATACCCTGCCACGTCCTGTCTGTGTTTTTGTTTGATGTTTTTGTTTGTATCGATCTGATGAGTTAAGCCTTTTTCAACTGAATTTTATAGTTTGTTTTATGCTGTGCAGTTTAGGGGAGGGTTGAGCGCTCACAAACATGTTTAACCCCGCCACATTCTTTATGTGCCTTTCCCTAGCCTGTAGTTCAGTGGTTGTCGTTGGTTTATGTCTATCATATTTGTTTTCCGTAAATTGTTTTGTCATAAATTAGGCCGTTATTTTTCTCAATTGAATTGTTTCATATTTTTCATGTCGGGGCCTTTTATAGCCGACTGTACGGTATGGGGTTTTCTCATTGTTGAAGGCCGTACGGTTGCCTATAATTGCTTACATCCACCTCATTTGAACTTTGGTGGATAGTTGTCTCATTGGCAATAATACCACATATCATTATCTTTATATGGAAATTATTTGAATATTTTGACACTAAAATAGGTGATGTTTTTCAAAATAATTCTAATATTTCCTTTTGATGTATATCTATATTTGCTTCTTAAAGAGCTACAGCTTTGTATTGTCTTGATAATTCAATCTTAGAACTTGAAATATTCGACCTTCTTTTTTTTTTATCTTTTATAGCGTGATTCTTTTTTTTTTTAAATTTGGAAACCCTTGCATTTCGTCGGTTTTGATTAATTCTCTTTTGCGGAGATCATCACTTGGTCTTGATTCTTTTATTTTGATCGATAGGTTAAGTCGGCTGTCACTTTTCCGAATACGATACATGTGGGTAATTATAATATACTATTTATGTTATTTCTTTTTTTATTGTTCGATTAAAAAAAAATGTATGAAATGCTGCTGATAATTAATACAATATTCAGTTTTTCTTCTTTACTGATGTTCTATTCTTTTCAATATCAGGATCCTATGTATGACACGTGCCTTGGAAATCCCTGTAAAGCTGGAGAAGTTTGTGAAACCAAAAAGGACAGAAGTGTGTTTTGCGTCAAGGATCAAGGTAAAACGAATATTTATATATTCGATTGAAATAAACTTAATATTTGTATGCTCTGCCTACGATAGTATCGGGCATTTTTGGCTGTCTGTTTGTCTGTCCTTCATTCGTCCGTAATATCGTTCATTTGTCCGCCCGTCCTTCATTCGTCCGTTAGTTCTTCTTTCCAGTATCAAGTTTTTGGTTAGTATAAAATAAGGAGATGTGTAATGACTGCCAATGAGACAACTATTCACCAAAGTTCAATTATAGGCAATCGTACGGCCTTCAACAATGAGAAAACCCCATACCGTATAGTCGGATATGAAAGGTCCCGACATGTAAAAATACGAAAGAATTTGATTTAGAAAACTAACTTCCTAATTTCAAAACAATTTACGAAAAACAAATATGACAGACATGAACCAACGACAACCACTGAACTTCAGTCTCCTGACTCTGGACAGTCACAAAATATGGCTGGGTTAAACATGCCTGAAGGCACCAACCCTAACTTTAACTTGGGACAGTGGTGAAAAAGTACAACATAAGAAAAACTATTTAAACTCGTTTGAAAAGGCTGAACTTATCAGATCGATACAAAGGATAAAACAATCACAGACCAGACGTGGCAGGGCATTTATACATCCCTGAAAAAAAAAGACACAAAGTAAAGATCTGAGAGTATTCACAGTTACTGATAGCTAGTTCAAAGCCAATAACAACCAATAAAACAAATCATGTATCTAAGACTAAAATACTAATTAGTACATATCCAACATACAATGGATTTAGTAAAGATGTCATTAACACTGGCAGTCAGAGAAAACATGACCTTGTGGAATGTCAAAATATAGGTAACGACAGATTGTAATACCGTGAATGTGCAAATGCGTATAACAATAATATTTAGTATGGTTTTAATTTTCTAAAAACGAAATCAATATAAATACCACTAAAACAATATTCAAAGATCTAATTACAGTGTTGAATTGGTAACTTTTTAGAAAAAGTTTATTTAAAGGATTGAGTAGTTTACTTGGATCGTATCTAATTTGCGGGGTTGGTAAACAACATCACCGTAAAAACTAGGATGTGCTATTCCGTTTGAAATACGTCTGGTACAGCCTAAATTGCAAACCAAATGTTTGTATCCATGGAAGAAGGTTTTAGGTAATTTGTGGTAACGAAATCCCTGACTTAAAAAAATACCAGTAATACACAGTTTACGCTAATTGAAATCCAAAACGGACACGGGCATAGCGAACGAGTTTAGGAAAAGTCAGTTATTGCTGTTAATATTTGAGTTTTTAAAAGTAATTTCCAGTATATCAATAAAATTTTGGAATATTTAACGAAAACATATCACCAAGATAGAGGTGAATGTTGTTGAATTTATCAAATAAATGGAAATCTGACGGGTCTTTACTGAGTTTCATAACAGTACAGGAACAAATATACTATCAAAGAGGCCCAATTGGTGCCCATAGGAATACCTATAACCTAATAATAAACTTTATTGCCGAAACGTACATAAATGTTGTCAAGGAAAATAATTAGAGCTTTAATTATCTCACCATACCTTCAGTAAGTATATCTAGCATATCTATCTTTCTCTTTGGGAGAAAAAGACTTTTTATGAGTTTAAGCAAATACTTTTGCCATCAATTCTTTTAAACAACCATTTCATCAAAGAGGAAAACTTTTGTTTGAAAATGTGTGGAAGTGTAGTGTAAAGAGTGGAAAAGTCAAAACTGTCAATCAAAAGGACTATCTAAAGCAAGAAATTTACACTAAAAAAATTTAATTCCACTATTTTCATATGTTTTATTAAAAAAATTAATGATGAGATCTTTGATAGTAGGTAAGGAACTAGTTGAACGCAATACAAGATTAGTAGTAAAACACTAGTACTAGAGGCCGAGATGAAACGATATTTTACGTTTTTTGTGTGTGTAGTTTATGTAACCAATGCATAATGAGGACCTTCAAATGTTCAGAGTCCTTAATCTGAGCTGTGGTAGTGACATGCTTATTTATTTTTTGACTCTCTGTGGAGCGTACGGCCTTGAATATAGTTGAATATATAATTTCATCCTTACGGACTTTCGTGTAGTATTTATGTCGTACCAGCGCCACACTGTTGGCTGGTATGAATACAAAACGCTTTGAAAAATAGGAATGTTAAATCCGATGCCTCTTTTAGAGACATTGCTACGTTGTCTGCACGTTTAAGACCTCTTGCAACAACTCTTTACGGGTCCCGTAGGTAATCTGTTGCAGGGTACAATTTATGCCCCTATCCAAAATACTATTGTTTTCAAATTTTCATCCCTGTCGAGCCACTTTACAGAACCTACATATAGCATTAACTCTTTACAGATTGTTGTATTTAAAATGCATGAAATACTTGACAATTGGACGGCAAGCAAGCAGCAATTAATCAGTCCTTTTTCGTTAAAAGTACAATTGATCAACAATGAAGAAAATGTTTTTCTTGAAACAATATTACATAGAATAGATTAAAAAAAATGCAGGAGGCGAATAATTCGGCAGATTTTCCCAAAATTAAGTACAAGTTTCTGGTGCGACATATGTATGATTCTATAAGTTTTTGTTTGTGTTTTTTTTCTAAAACATAATTGTTGTCTTTGTTGTTTGTTGGACTTCAATATTCCGAATTCACGCGTTGTATTATAATAGAAACTTATAGGTCACAGAAGCACGTGTTAATGAATCCAAATGTGAACCGTTATTTTATTAACGTTGCCAATGCGCTATATGAGAAGCATAAAAAAATCGAAGAAATTTTATTAAAACGGTTAAACGTGTTCGGGTCTTGTGAATTGTTACGCATAAGATGTGAAGATGCTACGCATAGAACTTGTACCATTTTTAATGCATGTTCATAGGCGGAACGCGCGTGTCTGACAAGCAGGGGAAAATGTGTTTGCCTTTCTACCTCGGGAAGAAAGTCATTTAATCAGTTATGTGAATTAAAAAACATTTGAAAGGGATAATGAAACTGTTGTATTTTAAGCAAGTCTACGACGAAGGCATGTACGACGTGATAACTGTATTGCGATGTTGCTTTTTGAAGATCACTACGATGTGATACAGCGCTGAAAAGGAAATAACGTCTCCAGCATTTAAAAAAACTTTTTTTTTCTATTTTTAGCTAAAAAATAATTGCAGTACCCTTTTTTTCTTTTTCAATCATCTGCGTACATATATACTGCTTTAAGAACTATAAATCGAAATTGCAAGAAAAAATCACATTGGCAGCTTTTATTGTCTTTTTGCGCTTGTAGTAACGGAATAGTTGCCTTCGGGTTTCTATTACCAAAGATGATCAATGATAAGTTGATTTCACATAACAAAGATCGATTGCAGCCTTCATTTTTGCCACTCACTAACGGGCCTTTATGCTAAGGAACTCTTTGTAAACAAAAATATCCTTTACTGTTTGAAAGTCGTTTTTATGGAAAATTAATAGAAACGTGACTTTCGGTTTCGAATAAAACATGCAAAGATCCAACCAGAATATTTTGAAAAATAAGCTATGAAAGCATGTTTTCTCTGTATATATTTCGATAGTGCTTATCAACATCAGTTTGTGATAAAATTGCAAATGAATACTCAATGCAAGAACTCTTCAGAATCGAATGCCCATGAGTTGTATTATTACCAAGCTTCTCATACCGGTTAAATTCATTTCAAATTGTAAAATTATCTGGCAGGGTTATGAGGTCAACACTATACCAGTAGTACAACACTAACTAGTTGACTGATACCATCTGCCTTTATATTAATTAAAAAAAGACATGTTGTCGTAGATCGTAGATTGTAAAAAGTAGCACATTAGTCTGATCTGTAAAATCACCGATTATGCCTTATTCCATATTGAATTGTGTTTATAAAATAAGTCTGTTTAAGGATGTAGTTAGGTGAAATTTAAAAAATATAGAATTTAAAATTGATACTACAAGTCAGAAGAGCATTGGTAAAGGAACAAAATAAGCTAAAAATATTGATAGGTTACGGAACTCTTTTTTGCGATATTTGATTTTTAAAAATGGCGGGAAAAGACTGACTCGGACCTTTAACTTATATTTAGCATTGGCATTATTTGGGTCTCAAATCGTACGAAAAAAATCTAGAATCTTCTCAAATTTTGGTTATAACATTTTTATGACATATTGAAATCTTCTATGAAAAGAAAAGTGGGTGATATGGGGCAAAATATTTTACCTTGTTTCATAGGAAAAAACCCAAGTAGTCAGAACATCTGACAAAAATTCATGAACCTCACCTGCGTACATCGTTAAGCACGGCGGGTATAGAATGCATAGCATGTCAATGCTTAGTGTTGATAAGACATCTTGTTTTTCTCTATTCAATATAGATTCACGAGTTTAAACATCAGATAAACTGCAATTGTTGCATCTCTGTTATAGACACGGCCCAGTCTATGTTAGTGAGCCCTTTATATCAATTAGATGTAAAATACATTATTGAGTGTGGTATAAGGGATTTTGTCATCAAAATGAGATTAATCGGTGTTGAAGGAGGTGTTGTAGTCTCATTTGTATAGACAAATCAAGTTCAAGAGCAAAGTACTTTTATCCTTTAAAAGAATCCTATATGTGAAGTAGAAACCTGTGTGTTCGTTTTGCATTTTCATGGTGTTGTGTTCTGTTTACTCCAGCCTAAGTGATAATCTGCATTTGTAATAATTCGAAACTCGGCGATAATGTGGACTATATATACAATCATTTACCATAGGTCTGTTAAGATTCAATGTTTTTACATATCTGTCCCTGAAATAGTTCCTCCTTTCTAAATTTGATTATTCCATTTCTTTGTTTTTCCGACGAACCTTATATAGATTGTTTTCATTAAAGTTATTAATTAAAAGTTTAAACTTTCGAAAGGTACGGAATGCTTCCTAGTATCAAAGTTACGTCAGTATCTATGTATGGGGATATTTCTGTAGGGGGGAAGAATTGGTGCAGACGTCAGGTCGTGATTTTAAATCAATTCCAATTTATATAATGATTTAATCATAAATATATTTCAAATGAAAAACAGGACGCATTAAACATTTCCCATCTAACAGTAAAACAATTGACATCTGAACATGCTGAATTAGATGTAAGCGATATAAATCATTCATAATATTTAGTACCGATTATCAGGTTGTCTGCATATTGATATCGTAAAATATCAGCTGCGAGTCACAATATGAAGCTTTTTGTCGAGTGAGCGCAGCGAACGAGATAAAAAAGGCTCCATATTGTGTCGAGCAGCTGATATTTTACAGTATCAATATGCATACAACCAGATAATCGATTTATCGGGTTATATTTGCGTATTTTGCATGATAGAAACAAGTGTTTTCTTTGTTTCACTAGCAAACCGGAAGATAACTTTATAAGTTCGGGTCAAACTTATCAACGTCGTATCATATATTATGCGATATGTCCGGGTCAAAGTTATTACGGCCGGGTTAACGTATTTGGCGTCGAAAAGCCGTGATATGCAATTTTATCAAGAGTTGAGCAGAGTGAAACAGACAGAGGGACGACCAATAAGATAAAATATAAGTACGTAGTTTTCACAGACAACTAAACATGAGATGGATATGTATGATCCATTGACGTATATATGTCTATCCATTGTTTAATTATCTCCGTAAAATTGGACCCAATTGATCTAATTAACATTTCAAACAGTTACCTATACCAGCGGCACATCTGCGAATACCATTATACATGTTATATAAGAAGCGACCCCTATTATAATTCATGGATAGGGTCTCGAATGCCAATACTGTTACATTTCCATGTATAGTTTTTCTGCCATTTCGGTGAGAGATTCTGTTTTTTTTATATTTCATTTAAGCCAAAAGAATTTCGAAACCAGTCAGAACTAACTTTATTTATGTGATAATTTCACGATGACGTGTATAGTGTATGTAACCATGCGAAGCAAAAATGAATACTATACTGAATGTTTCATAAAATTATACTTATTATGTAATTTCTACATTTTAGAAAATATGCAAGTAGGAGATTGTACGGAATTGTTTGAATACAGACGCAAAAGTGGAATATATACAATATATCCTTCCAAGGCCGACGAGGGGGTAAAGGTGTTTTGCAACATGACAAACGGCGGCTGGACGGTATTATATACAACAAAATGTGGTAGAAAACCCCCATGAAATCAGTATCATTTTTCTGAAAGTCAAACATGTCAGATTCTTATCAGTATTCTTCCCAATATCGTTCATTTTTATAAGTTGATAAAGCAAAAACAGTTACAATGATATTTTTTTTCAAGTGGCCATGATTTGCTGTGAAATTTGTGTTTCTTTCTTTACGAAAGTAAATAGAAGCAGGAAAATTATATGAACCCAATTAACCATGAATATGAAAATAAGGAGATGTGGTATGATTGCCAACGAGACAACTATCCACCAAAGTTCAAATGAAATTGATGTAAGCAATTATAAGCAACCGTACGGCCTTCAACAATGAGAAAAACCTATTCCGTATAGTTGGCTATAAAAGGCCCCGACATGAAAAATATGAAAATAATTCAATCAAGAAAGCTAACGGCTTAATTTATAACAAAACAATTTACAAAAAAAAAAAAAAAAAAATAGAATGAAATAAATATGAACCAACGACAACAACTAAACTATTGAGTTTATAATTCTGTAATAACATGTATGATATTGTATAATGATAAATCCACTGTCAAGCCAAGACACGACGATAAGTCTTTTATATGCCTAGAAAACTGCATAAAAGAGACGAAAGATAAAAAAAGATCATAGAGAAGATAAGTCAAAGAGAAACTGACCACACGATGAGAAAACGATAGATAGCGAAAAGACAAATAAGTCCACAAACACTAGATAGAACATAATGACTGAGCAACACGAACCTACAAAACTGGAGGTGATCTAAGATGATATGGAAGAGTAAGCCGATCGGCAAATGCCATGTTTCTCTTTGTAAGTAAAATTTAGGGAATCAGTGTCATTTGGTGATGTCAAAATCAAGAACAAGAAAACCGGATTGTGGTTACGACAGTTTGGACATATCTGACACAGATATTTTATAAATGTCTACCATGTCAAGATGGCATCCGTAAAATCTTCGAAGGAATTACTTCAAGTTTTACCATATGAAACCTTCGGTGCAATTGCTTCCTTGCAAGAATCAGCCGTGTACCATGAACTTTGTGATAGGAAACACTAGATCTGGAATATGGTATCAACAGTGAGAGATATATACTCCATATGCAGGCGCTGCTGGAATGTTGCTACATAGCAATGAAAATGAAAGAGGATAAAATTCATTCTGTCGTAAAATTTAGTTCTCAACTAACCTTTATGTAAATTTCTAGATACAATTCTAGATATAAGACCGTATCTGTTGTATCCTTCATGCCAATGTATATGGTTTACACGCGTTCAACATAGTAACCAAATCTAGAATTATATAGTGAAAAGGGATACGCTACATAGCGGAACGTGATGGTAAAGGATTATTCTTTTCAGTATTTCTGGAAGATCCTGTATGATAGGAATAGCGACTGTTTCTTGAAAAGACGTCTTCCAATTGTGAAATAATGTTGTCAATAAAAAAAACTACTTTATGATGATGTCGGTTTCATGTATGTGAAGTAAGCAGCCGGTTCATTATTCGTTATTCGATATTCAATATCCAACCGGCTGCTAGCAGTCGGTTCGATATTCAAATTTCTTAGTTGAAAATAATAAAAATCGAAATATTCGATAACATTTAAAACATGATATTCATAGATAAAAGGAGTAAAAAGATATGTAGGAAATCGTTTTATGACCCCTTCAAGCTGTCGCAAATTCCCATTGTCCTGAAATATAAACCCTTATGTAAATCGCACATTTATGTTTATGAAATATAGATTTTTTTATCAATAAAATGCAATCAAAGTAGTACTTTTCTACATGTTATTTCTAGAAACAAAAACAAACGATCACTTTAGTAACATTTAAAAATATAAAAAGAAATAACGGAAAACCAATATAAAAGAAATTGTCACTTTTCAGTTAAAAATCGTCGAAAATTCAGATAAAAGGGCACAGGGCGATGGCTAGACCCCCCTGATCTCTCAATCTTCATAAAATTATGCAGAAAGTTAGTAAATATGTAAGACTCAGATCGACGTCCGGTCTCTAATCGACGTCCGTTCCTCAAATCGACGTCCAAATCTGACGTCACAATAGAATAACGTTCCAAATCGACGGCCAATTTTATGCCCCTCTAATCGACGTCTTTTTTTGTTGTTCTCAAATCGACGTCCGTTTAATGGATTTGTCGCAGTGAAATCACAACTTTATTAAAGGGTGGGTTGAACCTAAAACTCAAAAAGATGTTGAAAAAGATAAGTCCAACAAATAATACTTTTCAACAATTGGCTATACGTATTAATTCTTTTTATTGTTTGAGTCTGTATGCCGTCTTCTAGATGTCTTTCGATTATCTTTGTCTTTGACAAAACGAGACAGATATTATAAACACAGATCAATTCTAATATGACGTTTTTCTTTCACTTTGGAAACAAAGCCATGTTCTGATTCCAATAAAACATGGGCTGCACGTGATTGACATCACAATAGAAATTGCAACGTCAACAGAATATATGACTGGGTCATATAGATTGACATCATAATAGAAATTGAACAACGCCGCAATTAAAATAGACATTTGTGTTCGTATTGCTCGCAAGTAAATTAAATAAAATCATTCTAAATTTTAAGTACGTTTACACGTATCTGTTTTTAATCGTGAAACGGTTGATTTTCTATAACGTTTTGGCTTCATCAAATCAAAATGGAAGCATTTCAAACGCCTATTATAGGTCCGCTTCGAAGTTCTAAATTTTTCTATTAGAATCGAAATAGTTCTATCATGCCATGCTCTATACTCATTTTAACACGGGTAGGCATTATATTTGTCAACATTTTACACCTCGCTAACGCTGGGTATAACGATATTGACAAATGTAATGCCTACTCATGATAAACTGAACACAGAGCATGGCATGACAGAATTATTTCATAATTTAAAAAATAAATGATTGCATGAAATAAGACATCGCGATGAGAGTCTCCTCATCGATCGGACGTCGTTTTTGTGATTCATTACGTTACATCATGCAGGTTAAAATATTGGACACTGATTGGAGGAACGGACGTCGATTAGAGACCGGACGTCGATCTGAGTCTAACAAATATAAAGATACAAATGACACCAAAAGGAATTTGGGTAAACTTCTTGTCTTCTATGTTTACGGAGGGCTCAAAGTGCCAGTTTGATATTCAAAATATATAGTAAAAACCTACCAGAGACCGCTTAAATGACCATAAAATGAAATGATCTTTTAGCCTATGTATATATACAGATAGTATCAAAAGGATTTCCCAGAATAATGTCATCTCCGATATCTACGGAGGGCTTAAATTGTCACTTTTCAGCTAAAAATCGTCACAAATTTAGGTCAAAGAGCACAGAACGATGGCTAGACACTTACCCCTTGATCTTCAATTTTCATAAAATTATGCAGATAGTTAGTAAATATAAAGATACAAATGACAACAAAAGGAATTTGGGTAAACTTCTTGTCTTCTATGTTTACAGAGGGCTCAAAGTGCCAGTTTGATATTCAAAATATATAGTGAAAACCTACCAGAGACAGCTTAAATGACCGTGAGACCCTCCTGGTCTTTCAATGTCGATAAAAGTGAATGATCTTTTAGACTATATGTTTATATACAGATAGTATCAAAAGGATTTCCCAGAATAATGTCATCTCCGATATCTATAAAAACGTTGAAAACTCAGGTCAAAGGGCAGAGGGCGATGGCTAGACTCCCTGATCTCTCAATCTTCATAAAATTATGCAGATAGGTAGTTAACATATAGATACAAATGCCACCAAAATGAATTTGGGTAAACTTCTTATTATCTATATTTACGGAGGGCTCAAAAAGCCAGTTTGTCGAGACTTACCATTTACAATATTTAATTAAAGTTTAAGCTGTTCGCGAGAACAGTCAATAAGATGCATAAATTCATCAGGACAACTGATCAACCGGCATTAACGGTTCTTTGCAAAAGGTTAAGGTCAATGATCATAAAGTTCTTATCTTTAGAAACTGTACATTTTCCGTAATCATGTGACTACATATTTTCCAAAAATGTTTGTATTAACTATGAGTTGTAAAACTAACTAACTAATAAATATATGAATTCACTGGATAATTTCCCTGGTTATTCGGTGACTAATTCACAGGAATACTCGGCCAACTGCTGTAGGTCGAGTAAATTGTCATTACAGCAAAGAAAAGTGCAATAAAGATATTTTTAGCGAAAAAAAAAAACAAAGAAATTATATGTATAATACAATCAATGACAATCGTGCTGTATCAGCCATCCGTGATGATATCGATAGCAGTCACAGTTGCAAAGGCTTTATCACACCCCTAATCTGTATGACGTCACGTCATTGATATCATTCACGTTTGGAAAGGCTTTATCAAACCCATAATCTGCTTTACGTCGGATCACAACTCAAGCGAAAAACATCTACTTCGGGTATATACATGTACTCTTGAAGAACTCTTGGGATCATATTGGTGTCTCGGGTTGATACGAAGGTGATATCGAAAAAGCCATATGATATTCTCTATGTATCATAATTCTACTTCATCATGTTTCATTTCATAATTCATTTTTGTCGAGCCTGCAAAATTTATTCGCGAAAGCGAGACATAGCGATCCTAGATTCCGTCGTCAGCGTCGGCTTCGGCGTCGTCAACAATTAGGTTCAGTCTGTGGTTAAAATTTTTTTAGTCATCAATAACTTTGTCAAAGCTACATGGAATTTTATGAAATTCGGACAGAAGCTTGTTTATGACTACAATATTGTATCCAAAGCAAAATTTTGAAAATATTTATTTTATTTTTCCATCTTTTACTTAGTTTTTTTTACAGTTTACATCCATATTAAGTCTGAGGTTAAAGTTTTTCAGTCATCAATTACTTTTTCAAACTATCACGGAATTTTATAAAATTTGGACAGGAGCTTGTTTATGACAAAAGACAGTATCCAGAGCTTAGTTTTAAAAACATTGGTTTTATTTTTCTGATAAATGGACTTAGTTTTTTTTTGCAGTTAACATTGAGATATAGTCTGGGGTTAAAGTTTGTTACACATCAATTACTTTGTCAAAACTTCGTAGAGTTCATGAAACTATGACAGAAGCTTTTTAATGATTAATAGATAATGTCTGAAGCAAAACTTTGAATATATATTTTTTTTCATTTTTAGTATTTTCCTGATAGACGGACTTCGTTTTTTACAGTTATCATTTACAGACAGTCTGGGATTAAATATTTGTGACATGATAAATTTGTATGGATTGTTATGAAACTTGGACAGGAGTTAATCTTCAAGACCAAGAAAGAGCATCAAAAGAAAATGTTTGATTTTTTAAAAATTCTGTATTTTACTGATAAATGGACTCACTTTTTAAGTCAGTATTACACTTTTACACTGACAGCAGCAATCACAGACGAAACACAGAGTTCCGCGGAATCCCTTATGGGTTTTTATGGTATTAACTCAAAGAACGTTAGTTCTTTTCAAGAATTTTAATGAATGTGGAATGTGAAGGTAGTTTTACATGTTTTATAGGGTTCCAACATAAACATGCTATAACAATACCGGTACAGTTAAACAAATGGTGACCCCTCTATCAATTTTTTGTCTTTACATAACACGAAATTAATATTTCAATTTCAAGCTTTTAATTATTTCTTAATTACATAAAATATATTAATCTAATGTTTAGTTATAAAGATAAATACTTATAGGTTATCCAAAGAAGAATAGATGGAGAAGAAAACTTTCATAGGAACTGGGTTGAGTATGAAAATGGCTTTGGTGAACTTCAGTATGAGTTTTGGCTTGGTGAGTATTCTTTGCTTCAAATATATGTTTATGTACGTTTTTTTCAAATTCTACAAAACTGTTGTAGATCATTTTTTTTCTTTCGGAGAGAATTATCGACCTTTGGTAGGACAACTAGCTGATCAAAGATAGAGTAGAACGCACCTGTTACGTGCGGGGTTTAAGCTCATATCCTCATGGTTGACAGTTTAGTTATACTGTAGATAAAATGCTTAGTCCACTTATCTGCAACCGAGGCCCAACACAAGAAAGAAGAATGCTTTCTACAGCAGGAATTTTCCTCATTTAGTTAAAACAACAGTTAATTATCAACTTTTTCAAAACTCATAAAACTGTTGAAAATAAATAAAATCAGAAGACATCGCATGAACTCCAATCATAGCTATACAGGGCCCAACACAAGAAAGAAGAATGCTTTCTACAGCAGGAATTTCCTTCATTTAGTTAAAACAACAGTTAATTATCAACTTTTTCAAAACTCATAAAACTGTTGAAAATAAATAAAATCAGAAGAAATCGCATGAACTCCAATCATAGTTAGACAGGATAAGCTTCTAACTAGAAGCTTATATAATGTATAATCATTGTTTATTGATGACACATCATAGTTTGCATGTGTGTAGCACATGTTTGGTACTGACATGCCTCTGGCTGCATGATCACTCCTTATTTGGTTATAAGGCAAAGGAGTGATACATACCCTTCTCAAATGTCCCCAGGATGCTAGGTTGTTGTTCATTTTGAGTTTTGCTGCTGACAGGGAAAGTCATACATTAGTTATCCTAAAGTTACAAAATATTGTTTTCAAGTATAATATTAACTAGGTGTTAATATCCATATGTTATTGCAATATTCAGTTTTTGGACATTTGCGTTTATCTTCATATATGTGAGTACGAACTAAAAGAAACTTTCGATATTGGACATTTGCGATTATCTTACTAAAAGAAAATTTGTGTTGTAAAATTGCTATATTTAACATTCACTTTCACTTAGCAATTTCAAAGAACATTTTCGTAACTGTTACAAAGATATTGAACTTTTAATAATTATGGCTTCCAGACGAAATTCAAGAAATCAACCGTATTCAAATAGATATTTGGACTTAAATAATCCAGACAATTGGACGTCACAGCAACTTAGATAAAACTGCAGCAGTTGGGGATTGTTGTACCCAAAAATGTTGCTAAAACCGTTCTTAAACAATTTTATTTATAAAATAAAGATCGCCAAAATAGCAACGGTAATGTCGCCCAGAACGAGGAACATGTTAGTGATCCAGAACATGTCGTGCTGAATCCTATAGCACAAAACTCCGAGAGTGCCTCAGCCTCAGCGTGTGCCTCAGACAGTACCGCGAATGTGACCGACGGATTGCGTAATCCAACAGCTGATGAAAGTAGTTCGCGGAGCGATGTCAACGATTCAACCGGAAGTGCGTAGTTCGACAGCGTCGGTGGCAACGACATGGCTGCCATTATCCAGTGTCGCAGTCTGTAGCACAATGAGCCTCAGGTCTCCAACAGACAGTCAGCCTTATCGCCAACCAAAAAAGTACAGAAAGCGGTCCTGCAAAGAAATTTGATCTAGCGCAGTGGTACCAGAATAGAAATATGGAGGACGTACCACTAGCCGTGCACCGCCCACCACTGCCACTATCAACAACACCATCTCTTGGATACTTGTCCACAATTATGTGTGGTGCCTATCCAGACCGTCGGGATGAATTAGATGCCTATGAAGCTGACATTATTAACATTAATAATTTCTATGGCCCAAAATTTTATGACTATCTTTTTTTACAGCAAAGGCAGCATCACTTCTGCGGGAAAGGCATGTTAAGGTCGATTGGAGCCTTCGTGATCGTGACATCCTTTCTTTGATAACAGCAGGATCCTCAGTAAATGTGTGTAAAATCTGTAATTTAATTGATCATGCTACACAATACTGCCCATTGCAATCATCAGTCCAGGTTGAAAATTCCTCTTCAAGATCAAATTCATCTAGCTAGCAACCTACAATCCGTAGACAAGGAAGGTCGTTCAAGAGTATTTCATGAAGGTCGGGAAATGTGCAATAATTTCAATAATCCTAAAGGTTGTTATAGGAAAGTGTGTTATCTCCTCCACCAGTGTACAAAATGTCGTGCAACAGGCCATGGTGCCGCAACCTGTAGGAAATCGAATAGCAATGTGCCTGTTCATTCTTCAACATCTTCAGTGTCCTCCAAGGGAAATAAATTGGAGAAACCAAATTCAGGATGACTATCCAAGGAAAAGTTCTTTTGTGAAGCTTCAACACCAATAAATATTGATAAATTGGAGGAAGAGTTATCATCACATCCTGATAAAAATTTTGCATTATATCTATGTAATGGTCTGAGACAAGGTTTTGATTGTTTAGTTCAAGGGGAAATTTCAGAATCTAAAGAGTGTAAAAATGATTTTTCTGCAAGATCTCAGGTTTTAGTTGTATCAGAGTTAATTACTAAAGGAAAATACTCTGGGAAGAAACGTTTGAATTAAGATCTTTCATCTACACATGACAATGACAGTTTTCTAAGTATTAATGACATGATTGATAAAAAAGAATGTTCCATGTCGTATGTTAAAATTGATGATGCTATAAGAATTATTCTAAAATTAGAAAGGAACAGTACACTTTGTAAATATGACATATCCGACGCGTTCAAAATTTGTCCTTACTTGCCATCCCAGTGGCCTTTATTTTGTTTCAAATGGCAGTCTTTTTATTATTATTATGTAAGATTATCTTTTGGCTGCCGGTCTAGTCCTAAAACTTTTGACACAGTGTCACAGGCAATTTGCCATATCGCAGAGAAAAATTATAAGATTAAGAACATTTTACATCTACTTGATGATTTTCTTACTATTGATCACCCAAGTGAAGATGGTGAAAGAAGCATGGCTATAATGATGACCATTTTTAAACGTTTAAATATTCCAATAGCCAAACACAAGACTGAAGGACCAGTTACTTGTCTAGAGTATTTAGATATTATTTTAGATTCAAACAAAATGGAAGCAAGACTTCCAAATATTAAAGTACAGAGAATATGTGAGTTTATTTCTAAATTGTTGTCATAATCATCTTGTACAAAGAGACAGTTATTACAGTTGTTAGGACATTTTAATTTTGCCACAAGAGTTATTTTACCTGGCAGATCATTTCTGTCGTACCTAATTTATTTGTCAACTACTGTTAAACATTTAAATAAATTTGTACATTTAACTAAAGAATGTAAGGTAGATTTAGAATTTTGGTTGAGATTTTTGTCAAACTGGAATGATATCACTATGTTTCATGATTGTTATTTCACTTCCAGTTATGACTTTGAATTATATACAGATGCTGCTTCTACAATAGGCTTTGGGGGATATTTTCAAGGCAAATGGTTCTCTTCATATTGGCCAGTTAATTTACCTACTTTAACTGAAAATTTGTCAATGGCTTTCCTTGAGTTATACCCTATTGTAGTAGCAGCATTGTTATAGGGCCACCTCTGGCCCTGTAAAAAGATATTATTTTGGTGTGATAATGAAGCTACTGTTGCTATTGTCAGAAAGGGACGCTCTAAATGTTTAGAAATCATAAAACTTATGCGTCAACTAACATGGTGTGCAGCTAAGTTTAATTTTCATTTTAGTGCTAAACATGTACCTGGTCATATAAACCAAATTTCTGATGCTTTGTCTCGTTTTCAGATGACTCGCTTCCGAAAACTGGCTCCACAGGCAAAGCAGCACTCTCATATATGCCCAAGTGTGTCAGAAGTAATGTGGTCTTAACAAACACAGTAAAAAAACTATGGTATAATGCAGTAGCTATGAGGATAAGAGCTGTTTATGAGACAGGATATAACCATTTCAAAACATTTTTACTTTTAAATGGGGTCAACCTGAATGGAAACAAATTACCTGCCATATCTGAAGAAATTTTATTTTATTTCGTTGGTCATTGTTTTCAAATTCTGAAATTACAATATTCTACTATTAAGCTGTATATTTGTGGTATTAGATACATGTGCCTCAAGGACGATATTCCCTCACCCTTTCAATCATCAGACAGAGACCACAAATCAATGGTTCGACTCTCTTTATTTCTAAAGTCGGTTAAACGTTCACAAAAACAGTCAGTCAGGCCAAGAAATCCAATTTACTTCTGACATACTAAAGCAAATGTGTGTTAAACTGAAGAGAGTTTTTTTTTCAGAATTTATAGACTTAATGTTTGAAACTGTTTGTATTGTAGCATTTCATGGTTTTTTACGTTGTGGTGAATTTACTGTAGATAATGCATCTAACTTTGATTCAGAATCTAATTTATGTGTTTCTGATGTTACATTTTATGAAGATTTTGTAATTCTTCACCTAAAGCAGTCAAAAACAGACCCTTTTAGGAAAGGCATTGACATACAATTGCATAGGCTAAATAATATCCTATGCCCTTATACAACTTTAAAGAACTACTTACAATTAAGATCAGTTAAAGGAAAATGTGCACTTTCAGATCCATTGTTCATTGATGAAAATTTTTCAGCTTTAGAAAGAAAATATTTTATTACAAATTTAAAAATTTTATTAGAAGCCTGTGGATACCAATCCGCCCTATATAATGGACATTCTTTTCGTATAGGTGCAGCAACCAGTGCTGGTAAAGCTTATATTGAAGATCACTTAATTAAAAAATTGGGTAGATGGAGATCTGATAGTTATTGTCGTTATGTTAGAACAGATAAATCTTCTATTAAGAACGCATAGCAACAAATTTGTAACAGTTACATTTTTTTTTTACAGTTATATGTATATTATGTATGTATATATATATATATAAATCTATGTAGCACTAAGATTACATGTTAACTCTTACACATTTTATTTTCATGAATTAGTCAGTTGTGTGTTTCATTAAAATATGTGCAGCTTAAATTGTGTTTAATAGAATTCCACAGTGTGTAGTTGAAGGTTTCATTCCTTAAAACCCAATTTTCCCATTTATTACCTTGGGGGTCACTCAGCTATTTCACACCTGACTTTTTGGACCCTTTCGAAATTGACCACTGGTCTAATTTCTCATTTCCCCCAAGTCATTAAATGTAATACATCTACATTTATTTCTCTCTCCACCGTCAATCTAACCCCCTTTTATCGTAGCCACCTGCTATGAGATGGAGCAACGCTTCATCCCCTTATAGGAACTCATCTGGTTCCGGTTGGTTGACGGAGTGTCAATGTCCATGGAGCTTGGTCCATCTATACCAAGTGTCGTCGACAGGGCCTGGAGCTAAATTTCCCTTTGCTGAGTACTTGACTCCCAAGGGCCAAATTATTTATATATTTTATTAATAAAAAATAGAAATTAAATAATCTTGTTGTCAGCAGCAAACTCATTGATATACTATTTGGTTATACTGTTTCAATCTTATAGGAATGTCCAAGTCTGAAGGTCATGTTTATTGTCAAGGTTGTCAACACTGCAGGAGTATGTTAAGAAATAAGTTACAAATACAGGGTATAAAAGAATACCAGAGAACACCTAAACAAGAGAGCTACAAATACAGGGTATAAAAGAATACCAGAGAACACCTAAACCAGAGAGCTACAAATACAGGGTATAAAAGAATCACCAAGAACACCTTTCAAAAAGAGGAGTTCTAACAAAGTCACAGTTTACTTAATCATAAGGAACACCTAAACAAGAATCAACTAACTAAACAAGGTACATGAATCGTTATCGATAAACCACAGAAAATAGAATACAGACTTAACAATGAATAAAGTCATTACTTGCTGTATCCGTCGTATCGTCAATGTCATAGTTACTACTGTTAAGTCATGGATTTCAGCCCTCCTGTCATATACCTAAGTCCCTGGAGTCATAGAATAAAATTAAAATAGTTGCGTATTACGTCAAAGTGTAAATATACCGTACAACGTTTTTTGTTCGCGTGTGTTTTATTTTCGCTATGTTTGCGGCAGATAAAAACCCGCGAAAATTTGACGCAGAGTAAATTGATCTGCATATTCCAAGATTCATCGTTGTTTCAAAGTTTCATACATTATATATACAATTAATTATCGAGTTTTCACAACATTAATATTTAAACTCTTTTCATTTTAAAAGTGGTTTAACATACTATTAAAAAAAAAGACTTCTGTGTTGATCGACAATTCACAAGAATGTGCATATTAATTCAGAATACTAGTATAGCAAAGTGTTCTCGACCAATCAAATTGTAGGATTTGGTGTTTCTTAATTGTGAAAAATGAATGTAAATTATGTTTTTAGTAAGGATTTATCCTACTGTTTAGGCCTATTTACAGTTCAAAGCAAAGATTTTATATAAATGAGTTACAAATGCCCCGAAGCACATTTATCAGCTTGGAAGTATTAGTGATTGAAACTGACAAAAAGTTGAATTATAAAACAACAAAATAAAAAAAATTGCAGAAGCAAATTTATTAGAGTGATAGGAATTCTGATTGAAATCTATTAAAAGATTTTTGAAACTAAAAAAAATAGATTGAGGTTTAAGTGAAAATAAAGAAACTGCAACACTCTGACTCAAAATTCAAAAACAGAAATAAATCTCATAAAACCTAAACATCTAGATAATAAGTTACCAAAACTAAACTTACTAAATCCGCACTTGGTAAGAATACCTGTTTCAAATTTTCCAATACATTAATAGCTGAAAGTAAAAATTTCCCGAGATATAGATTATTTCTTTAATTTTCATTTAAAATTGAATGTTTCAACAACAGTCACTTACCTCAGACAACCTCACAAAACGGAAAAGTATTTGATGTACAGAGGGACATTGGATGTGGAATAAAATATAGCTGCAGCTCAAATTTGAATTTATTGATTTGAACTATGAATACACAAAAGTTAAGTCTTTGTTAAAGGAATAGACGATTAACATTCATACTCACTATTAGGAAACATATACACTCTCTACTAATCTGTACTGTTAAATCATCAAGTGTCTAAAACATAACTTATTATATTTTCCCCAAAATGATGCATTCCGTGCATCACCCAGACTAGTTAATAATATGAAATGCATATATGAGCTGAACTGACCATGAATTTATTTCTTGATTCAAATTTATTCAGAAGTCATTTGAGCCGTTAGCAATTTAAAATATTTTTACGTTTGTAAGAGAATAATAATCCCTTTCTTCATGATAAGTACTCGCAAACGCTTGTACTGAATCATATAAAAAGGGAATATCATTCTCTTACATATACTAAGATCTCTATGTTCATAATAATTAAATTGGTTAATCAAACATGTCATACCTTTTAATAACACATAAATCAGGGACTGTTCATAAATGTTAGTTAAAGACTTTCAATTGATTGTTGTCCAAACCCAACATTTTCGAACAATGTAAAAACCAAAAAACAGTGAAGTTAAATCACAGTTACACAGATATTTGCATAAATATGCATTAGAAATACTCTTTCATACCATTACAAAAAAGATCATAACATTCAA